ATCAGTGAATGTGAAGATTTTTGTGTTAAATCTGACAGTGATTAATGATGTAAAGCATTTAATTAACAGTGAAGTAAAAGTCACAGTTTTAGTATCTGCGGGGGCAGTTGTACCGTAGCTCAGCAGAACATTTAGCACCACCTGGTGTGTAGAGAGAGTATTACACCAAGAAACTGAAGGACACATTTAAAATGAAGAAATGATTTTATTTTCAGCTTCATGCATGAAAAAACACAAAACCACGTGTAGATGTTAGAGAGCAGCAGGGAAGCATTCACGCCTTCACTGTCATCAAACATCAAGAAGGCTGGTGTCGTCTTATGACTGTCTCGTAGAAATGGTAGGAAATTTCACAGTTTGTTCGTTACACACCAAATTATCACAAATGAACTTCGATCAGAAACTTTGCGCTCGTGTTTTAAAAAAATATTTAGAGCAATTTAAGCGTAGTGGGCATCTGCTGTCACACAAACAGTCTGTGGTGATATGAGAAAGAATTCAACGACAAAAAGAAAGGTGATCGTTTAAAATCTCAGGAATCGGAGCAAACTCATGACACAAGCTACAGAGTGGATATAAACGGCACACACAGTGAATGACACCGTAGCCCACGATAACAGGACAGCCTCGTTAAAGGGAAGGAAGCCGCTTCCAGCTCACAAACGATTCTCGATATAGCGAGTTTTAAAGCAAGCCAGAAAGTAAGGTCATATTTAATAACTGCATTTACACATTGCTCTAGTTTATGTTCTCCTATTTGCCATTAAAAATAAAACATATCCCTTTTCCAAACTTATTTTTATTCTTAAATGGAAAATAAAAGCTTTGACTATTTAGTAAAACATGAACGTGACACAGTAGTCGCATTTACCTGTAAATCACCCAGCTGAATAATAAACACAAGACTAACTCACTCAAGCTGAACGTACCAAACTCTGAGCCAAAAGACAAAAACAAAAAACCAATGACATGAGATATCTATATTGCACTGTACAATATCAAGAGCTTCATGAAACAAAAGAGGAAGAGAAAGGCAGCTCGTAGGAAGGAATGAAAAGAGGGCACGACGAAGTGGTTAGGGACTGCTCAGTGGTTTGATTTTCACCGTGTCAAAAAAAAAAAAAAAGTTGTATATTTCTTTACTGTAAAATGATTTAAAAGTGGTGTGGAGCAGGAGGGGGCTGGTGGCAGATGCAGCATTCCCGCTGTACGCAAACAACATTCATGTCACTCTCAGCTGGATCAGGCTAAAGTGCATCATAACTAAAACTCCAGTAATGTAAGTATGAACGGAGAAGCGACGTGGAGGAAACACCTTCCAGTACGTAATAAATCCTATCTGTGTGTTCTGTTTGCACCAGGCTGGAGAACGACGATAAACCCCCCCCGAGGCAAATTCTGCAAAACCCTGGCAGGTAAGATTGCTTTGTTAGCAAATAAGCAGCCATCAGTGGGAGGTTTTATAGAAAAAATGTGTTTTCTAAACTTATGTGAAGTGACTAAAGTGGTAGGGGATTTAAAAATGGATGATGAGCCACTGTGACTAATTTAAGAAACATTATTCCATCGTCACTGAGCAAAGACTTCCTGGCGTGGAGGTCAGCCCCGTCAGTCCCCCGCGACCACGGTCACAGCAGCATCTGATGGGCTCTTCTGCTTCCCTTATTGGTAGACCTGCACGTGCCCATGCAAGGAGGTGGTGTTCCCTCCACAGTCCACATACTGGTACATCTCCTGGGAGACCTGCTCCGCGTGACCAAAGTACGTCGTCGTCACCGTCACCCTGAAAAGCAAACGAAAGGTTAAATATCTTCAAACAACAAGGTGAGATAAGTAGAACTGTCAGCGGAAAGGTTGCCAGGAGTGCATTTTACAGCGGTGGTAAAAAAAAACAAACAAACCTGGCTGATAAGTTGATGAGATAGTCTAATTCCTGAACAGGGTAAGACTAAAGTCTGAAGTCTGAGTAGATAATAGTACGACTGGGAGTAAATATCTAAAATAGTAGTGCAGTCGTGACTCGATAATCGACCCTTAACAATCCTAAACCTGCTATCCGACAGGTTTTTAGGAAAAACCAACAGAACCCATAAAAACAGCCTTAACATAGCGACAGCCTTGGATTGTGACTCCGACATGACATTTAATGTCACCAATCAGGATGACGGCGTATTATCTGACTGAACAATCCCACAGATTGGCTACGTTCACACTGCAGGACTTGATGCTCAATGAGGATTTCTTTGTGACTTCCTTCACGTTTCCAGTTCAATGCGACTTGTATGTGATCTGCTGTGTGAACTTCATACGAGCCAAAAGTGTCCCGCATGCGCAGAAGAGGACACGACGACGTCACACGCAGCGAGCGTGCTCAGTGTTTATGGAAGTAAACATGGATGGTAACGGTGGAGCGTATCTGCCACTCCCCCGCCGCCACCGATGGAGGAAACAGAAGTGTGAGCGCTAACTAAACTAGCATCAGCAGCCAAGTACTGCCTGTGTGTTCTGGACACTTCCACCCCGTCAGAGCGCTGCCCCGGGGTGGAAGTGTCCCCCGGCCGCTCTGAATATTTGGATATTTATCATTAATTGACACCAGAAAGTGCTATTGGGACCAGCCCTACTAGTTATAATAACAACTATGAACAATAATTAACAACTAATGAGCCTTCCAGCATCAAGCCCTCCTTGTATCTGGACCTCCGTCTTGACAATCCGACAACCTTGATATCCGACATAAAAGAAGGTTTTACATTTAGTGTCGGATTATCGAGTCACGACTGTAGTTAGAGCATTAGAGCACGACTCTGACATTTCTAACCATTAGATCTGTAGTTTTTTTTTAAAATCTATCTTTGGGCCTTTGGGTGGCGATTACACACATCAGTTAGCATCATCGGTCTGCACACAGTAAAGACAGTGAGTCTGTGTTACCGTATTGGACAGAAAACTATCAATATTTGACTCTTATTTCTGACCCTCGTGCAAACAAAACCGTCTCTAATGTGTCAGTAAATGAAACCTGAACAAAACCGTTTAAAAAGATTTCCAAAGTCTATTTGTCTGTATCGGGGTAGCAAACAAACAACACATGAATAAACACTGACACATAATCCGATACACCAGAATGTGATTAAATATACATGTGATAGCCGTGGCCTTCTAAATTTGGCACATCTTAATTTTTTTGCAAGCAAATTTATCAAAAATACTGAAGCGCCTGGTTAAAAATGATCAGGCCATTAAGCTTGAATTATTCACGTGTGACAAAGCTTTAAGTGGAGAAATGTGACTCGTGAAACTGGCGAAACAGAAGACGTCACGACAGGCTGCTGGTGGTCGTACTGCAGCGCCACACAGTGATGCTTCTTGTTCCTGCAGACTACAGAGAGACGCAAACCCAACAAGTAGAGTCGTGATTACTTAGCGACAGCTGAACAACAGAGAAAGTGACGATCGGCGCCAGATGAAACAAAAAGACACTGCATAACGGAGCTTTTCTAACGAGGAAGACTCTGTTCTGACACTAACAACACAGAGCCCAGCAGCCAGGAAGCAGAGCAGCAGCCTAACAACCCAAAATCAAGTGATGACACAACCGCACTTTGATCGGCTTTATTTTAACGACCAGTCATGACTTAATTATGAGCTGACTGTAAGTAGTGCTTATTAGTGGGCCCACAGAACATGAAGTTGTTTAGCTGTAGTTGAGCTTTCTCTTGGTAAAGTCATCTTTTGTCCCAGTAAAGAGAAACACAGGCCTTGCTTGGTCAATGGAGTCTGCAACCGACACTCAACAGTAAACATGGCCGAGATGTCAAACCACTGAATTGCAAGAGTAGCTGTTAAGGTTCTGGCTGCCTTTTTTTTTTTTTTCTCAGTAATTTTCCCTGAATTTCAGTCTAACGATGCTCGGCCAGAAACCGTCCATTTGGCTTTGACCACCCTGGATAAAGTGAACGAGTAAAGATTGGGCTTTGGGGAAATGTTTGCTTTGCTAAATTTACAATCTGCTCACATGTTACCGTTGACATGTAAATGAGCAAGGCACCCAGAGGCCTGGGCTCCTCCTGTTGCCCTGAGCACCGCTACACAGCTACACACTGCGTTTGTTCTGGGCAGCGCTTCAGACTGTGTGGGCGGAGCTATGCGAGTGTGGAGGAAGGTGATGCTGAGAAAAAAGACAAACCAGTCTAATGCTCGGTCACGTCTCTCATGATGAATACGAATGTTGTAAACGCGTAATGACGATAGCAGCACAGAGGTGCAAAGAACATGTCAACGTGAAACCATACTCACTGCATCATGACCACGATGTTGTGAACTTTAATGGTTGGCAGGGTGCAGTAGTCGCTGTAAGAAAAACGAGTGATTTAAAACAGGAAACTGTAGAGATTCAACTGTAAATGGAGCAATCGTAGAATTTCTAGTTGGATACGTACAACATGTAGCTCATCTCATCAGCAATGGTGGTGGGGACTGTGTAGTCGAGCTGTAAGAAACACAGTTCAGAACGTTTCAGAAACAAACAATATAATAAGACCTCATGTTGTTTTGTATTGTCTGTGAAGATTCTCAGTCCTCCAGGTCATGGTTCTTCTCGTAGGTTAATCGTAGCAACTGGACCTGCTTGAGTTCCTTCCACCTCTCATCCAAGAGGCTTCATCGGCTCTGACTGACTAGTTGGGAGATCCACATACTGACATCCTGAAGGAGCCGTTAACACCTGAGTTTCGGTTTCAATTGGGGGTTTGTTGCTCCTCCATTTGAGAAAGGAGTGAAAGAAGCCATCTACTGGAAAGACCATCCCTCAACAGAGGTGGAGGTCTGAGGCATCATCTCTCACCTGTTTACAGTTCAGTCCTAAGATCTCTCCCCAGGAAGATGAAACCACATCCAGCCACAACAGACCCCAACGAACCCCACTGTGTCAGGGGGAGCACTAACGACCCACATAACGAGAGGGAGGAGCAACAAACCCCCAATCGAAACCGAAACTCAGGTGTTGTTTTGTAGTTGTAGTTCCACAGGACAGTAAGACTTTAGTTGTGCTTGAACACATTTGTCACATTTGTGACGCATTTTGAGTTAAGTTGGATGTTTTCCATCAGTATCGTGATGATCTGTGCAACGATTCGTTCTGCAGTAGGCCGTGTCAGTGTCTAAAGTAGATTAGAACCGATGTGAACTTCAACCAACCTGCTGCTCATCCAGCGGTATGATCACCGTGCTGTTGCTCAGCTTGGCCTTTCCGATCACCGTCTTGGAGAACTGCACTTGCGCTGTGATGTTGGTCACCGATATGGCGTAGTAGTTGTTATTGGTGATGTTCAGAGTGTTCTGGAGAAACGGAGATAAAAGGCGTTAGATCCTGGTCAAACAGGACTTCCTGATTTAAGCTTCAATGCTGGATAATACGGAAAAACAATATTTCCAAATGGATAGCGTTTAAACTGGAGGTCAGTCTTGGTGTAAAAAATCAGAATAACACCAAGTGCAACACAAAACCTCGTTGAAATGCTGTTTCTTAAAAATCATTTACAGCTAATCGGTCGAACCTTAATTAAAACCTGCAGTAGCTGTTTTTTTGGGGGGTTTTTTGGCCCCCTGGGAGCCGTGAAAACCAGCTCGACTGCTCCACTGTTTCCCCAGTTTGCTAACTTTGTCTGCTTTGGTGCTTTTTACTGAGAGTAGAATCGCACTGCTGCCAAAAACAGCAGTAATGAGATCAGTGAGACCGAACCAACAGAAATAAACTGTGGAGCGAGTGACTGGAGCTGCAGAGTCAGGTGATAACTCTGTGTGCTCGCCACTATCAGCAGCTCCTTTCATGTACAAACAGTCATGTGACTTTGCTTAGCGAGACTGTGTGTTCCAAGTGTGTTTTCCACTCTAGGAAACTCCCTTTATGGCGGCGTGGTCTTGTTTAGATGCTGTAAGTTAATGTGTATATGAGCTAAATCATTGCATTCATCCAACAGGGTGGTGAGCTCACTTCCAGTGGGGGGATAACGGCTGCACCGTCTTACTGTAATGTTGAGATAGACGATCCGCTTGTCCTGATCATAGGAGACGTAGGCAGACTTCACTCCCACATAGGAGACATCAATGGAGCGAGGGAACAGGAAGAAAACCGCCAGTCCAGACAGCAGCAGGCACAGAGCCACTGATATCGTGACATACAGCTTTCTGGAGGAGGAGGAGGAGGAGGAAAAAGAGAAGTGAGAGCCTGAAACCAGCTGATGACTTCAAAGTCTACCACACTGCTCACTTCGTTTCATCACGCACAACGCTAACACAGTTCATCTATAAAAAAAAGGCGCCCAGAATGCAGACTTACGTCCTGCTCGGCCGGAGCCTTTGGTCGCTGTATGGAATCAGTGCCACAAGCTGGTTCTCTTGACCTGTTGAATGGTTTTGGAAAGAAAGAAAAAAAAAAAAAAAAGGAAAGTGTGTCCTGTTACTGTCGGATTGAGTAAGGGATGTGTTGTAAGGTTTGCACTATGCAACACGAGCACCTACGCCCTGTCTGAAAGTTGAGTTTTCCAATTTGAAATCGCAGTTTTACTGGTTTATTCTTTTGTATCTGCATTGTTGAGGTAGCTCCTGTCGGTACAGAGTGTCCCGACCAGATCCCTGATTGGTAACACTGGTACAGCAGTGGGAAGAACACAGATACTCTGAGTTGTTTCATCTGCAAACTACAAGAATTTCAGAGCATCAGCCTTTCAGGAAACACCCTGAAAAAAGCCTGAAATACTGGAAACTGATTTTTATTTTGTGCATTTTGTGCTTTTTACGATTATATATTTGCTATATCTGTGAAAAGTCAACAATAAGGTTTGATCTCATGTGAAAGTCTTTGTGTTTGGACTTTCTTCTGGATGTGGTTTGTATAAATGTGTGCAGGGCAGCATGAAAGAATAGACATGTTCACTGCATTATGCATGACTTCTTACCATAAAAACTTCAAGTGGGGCTGAAATAGGTTCATCCAGGCCCTTCTTGTTTGCTTGTCAGAGTGCTTTGTACACAAAATGCTGTACCTACTGCTGTGCCTGTAGGACACCTTCAGTCTACAGCTTCTTGTAGTTCACTGACATCATGTATTTGTCTTTTTTCATGAGTGAGAATTAGGCACACAGCACTTTCAGCAACAAAACTATTCTGCTAATTGTTTTTTTTTATCCCTAATTCTCTTCTGTCTGGTTTGAAGTGGACGAGGCCAGATTTGGAAACGGTGATCAAATGTGTAGATACCTGTGTGGTTGTTGTGTGTTAATCAAACTGATAAAGCTACACAGTTGTAAAGAAACACGTTAGTTGAGGTTTTTAATGTAATTTTTTCCCCCCTGAACTTAAACCGTTTGCTGATTTAGTCACGGATATGTCATGCTATGAAGAAACAGGCGTTTTCGTGGTCATTTCGTAATGATTTCCTCTCAAATAACCACAAAGATTTACCGCGTGGGATCCTGCCGGTGCCCTGGCATGTGGGGCACGTGACGCTGTCCCGTCCAGTGAACTCCACGTAGGGGAACTGAGATACGTCTCCGTTCTTTCCGTCCTCTTCCGTCTGGTTGTCTCTGTACTCGCCAGCAGCCGTCAGGGCGTCTTGACTCTCGTCTTTGTGTTTGGCCAACAGTGACTGGGACTTGCCCATAGCTGCAGCTGTCTGCACACAAAACAGGAAAGAGTGTGTGGAGAGAAAGGAGCCGCCACATAGGTGCAGCACGATGTGCTGACTAGCCGCATGCCACGCAGCCATTTGAATGTAAAATTGGGCCGGGAAGGGTTCCAGGAAACGTTTCCCAGGAGAACAAACTTCAGCTGGTGCTCTGATGAAAAATGTCATGTAGTGCTAAAACACAAATAGTTCAGCTGGACGTGGAGACGAGACTAATCTTTGCTCATTTTCAAAGCTCTATAAAACATATTAAGGATATTATTCTAATCTAATCATAGCATTACTGTTTTACTACTATACCTCATAACGTTTGTCTGCTGCCTAGTTAAGCAATTTCTCGGTCGTTGTAACCTTAACTAACACATTTATCTTACTGAGTCGAGGCTTATTGTGAAGAAAGGGCCGTTGTCTCTGGAACTTGATGGTCTGAGCTCTGGCATTATGGTGAGATCCTTAAATACGCTTTGTTCTGTAGTTTGCACAAGCTCGCAGAAGAAACCTGTATTCAACTGGGGACTGGCGTGGTATTAAAAATGGGTTTCATTTAGATCAATTAAGTGCTTAACTCTGGGGTTGCAGGATTGTTTCCTGTCGTGCAACTTAATTATTGATCAGGAATCAGATGTGAGGCATTTTTAAAAGCAGTTATGGTGGGACTGTTTGTATTCTTTTTCCATTCTTTGTGGTATGATGTTCTCCTCTACGCAGTTCTCCAGGTTAAATATTGGACTTTTCTAACCATTGAGGTTCATGATAGAAAAACATGATGAGTCTCCATGATGCATATACTGCTGGGTGTTGCAAACAGTCCAGCTGACACCTGCTGGCATGCTGAAGCAGTATGTAATCTGATTTTTTCTTTCACACTGCGGTGTAAAGTAGGTCGACCTGCATCACAGCAACAGGGTGTCTGGTGCCACATTAGGCCACGGCTGCTGTGAATGAGGCCGTTTGTTGTGTGAGCCCAGGTAGCTAACAGGAGTCACGTTGCGGTGCATCTGCATGACGATGAGCGGTGGATGAGACGGACTGCGGGCTCCGTGTGCTTACATACATACATGACGCGGAGCGCAGGCCGCCATGCCGCCGCCGAGCCGCCAGCAAGGAACACAACGTACCGGCCGGAGGAGAGCGGCCACAACCCTCCGCTCCTCCAGCAAAAAGCCACGTTTAGCTTCTACATTTTTATCCCGACGCATTGTGATAAACAGGATTGTCGTCACGTTATTTCTGACATTTATTTTAGACATAAGCGGGTGCTCTGTGGGGACAATCCGCAGCGCAGGATTTGCCAGCGAACCCGTTTTAATCACCCAAACGCGGCGTAAATCACATTTAAAATTGTCGGTTTTTGCAGAACGTCTTACCTGTGTTTGCGATTTATTCTGAATTGTTTGCCATCCGCTGTACGGTCGCCGTTTGTTGTGGTTCACACGCCAGAGGGGGATTAAAGAGGGAAACGCCCCCCTCGCTCCTCATTGGTCAGAGTCCCGTCAGGGGAGCTCTCATTGGTCCGCGCCGAGCCGTTCTCTTAACATGCTCGCTGTGGAAACATGGGACACACTGGTTCTAAATATGCATCACAGTTCATCCATTTCATCATGTGTGCAGCGTGTTGTGGTTTGACAGGAATGACAGCTGTAGGTTTTAATGGGATGGTGTGTACAAACAACAAACTAGGGACAATAGTGGAAAACTGGATAGATACAGATTTATTCATCCCCTTCCATTAAATAAAAGGCAAACCCCACACTAGTCACTCAAATATCTAGAATCTGAAAAAAAGTAATAATAAATCAAAAATTGCTAAATTATAATTTAGTGAAAAGAGACATTGCTTTTGAATTGTGGTTGAAAATAATAATTGAAAAAAATTAAATTAAATTAAATTAAATTAAATTAAATTAAATTTTTAAAAAAATCAGCCCTGGACCAATGAGAGCACTTTGCTGATGAGCAGTGAAATTAAAATACCTGTCAACAGGTGAAGCAGTCTGACTGAGAGTTACAGAAAACACCTGATTGCAGTGATTGGCTCAAAGGGTTGTTCAACAGAATATTTTTATTTCTTTATTTATTTTTGAACGAATTCCATGATTTTCATTAAATTTTTATTTATTATGAATTATTGAAAATTTCAGCTTATTTCACTGACAGCTGTTTTTTCCTTCTTTAATGGGAGGTTATGAAAACATCTGAGGACGACTATAGATAGATAGATAGATAGATAGATAGATAGATAGATAGATAGATAGATGCATGCTTTATTTATCCCCTCAGGGAAACGCTACATTCACCTGCATGTTAATTGCAATTAACATGCAGGTTGTGCTGGGTGAAGATATAAGGTGCCAAAATGGTTGGTATTTGTAGTAAAACAGAGAATAAGAAAAGTACGAAAAAAGCACAGTGTGAAAATAGAACTAACAATAGGAGCGATGCTTCGGTCCTGGTGGGCCAGGATTATTGGTTAAAGTCACTGGAGCAGTCACTCTAAACTCTTTGTGCAGCACATCGATTCATGTTCAATATCAAACAATGAACATTTTATAAACTGCATTTTTGCTCAAGTAAAGAATGCAGTCCTGCAGTAAATGCACTTAGATTCCATTCCACGCCTGTTTGTTATGCAGGTTTCTGCTATAACGTTATTATCACTCATACACTGTGGCTGGGCGAAGCGCAGCTCGTTTTAAATGCTTGAACACCTACATTTATGAAGATTCATCACATTTTGATGACGTTCTTCATATGTAAAAACTGAACATGCAAAGTCTACTGGAGTCGACTTTATTGTCATTGTTGTGCACAGATAGAACACAACCACATGTTGCCTTTAACCAAGACACCGCTAGACCTCCTCGTCTTTGTGCTGTCTCTACATCTGCTCTGAGCGGTCAGGTGAAGCTGTCCAACACACTGGTCGAGTAAGAAGTCCAATATTTACCTCTGAAATGCAGTGAGGTTAGTTAGTGTAGAACAAAATGGTCTGTTTCAGTACAAGTAGCTTGAAACTGTCCCAACTAGAGTACTTGGATAAATGTAGTGACCTTCCACACGTACGCATTGACTGCCTTTAGATTAGTCATAGGAAAGTTACTGAGTTCCCGCTGGAGACACAGTTTACCGTCATGTGAAGTCACATCACTGTAAATGTTTTGGTAAAGCTCAGTGATGCAGACCTGATGTAAGGAATGCTGTGCAGCTTTACTGAATCATCACTGAGATGAGTGTCTGGAAGAAAACCAGACCTGCTATTACACAATGTGGTGTTTCTGTTTGTTGTCTTGATGCTGTGTGTGTGTGTGTGTGTGAACCACCACCATGCTGTTGATTAATGGCACGCTTCAAGTGTATGGGAACAGCGTGTGAAGTGTAGAAAGGCTCAGTCAAAAATGACTTACGACAAAAGGAAATACAGCTGAACTCCTGACAAGCAGAAGCTCAGTTTGACGAGCAAACCAACTCAGCTCAGTCTGCTAGCATTAATTAAAGATGTTTAATTTTAGAGCAACGAGAATCACAGTGTCATAAACGAGACAAAAACATTTTGAACAACAGGCTATTCAGTGAACTGTTTAATCTGCGTGGAGTCCAAAATTAGTTCAAGTCCTCTGACTGAAAGCCCGTGTTTGGAAACTCTGTCCCACACATGCAATGAACCATACAACGGTCTGCATGCAGGACGGCGGCAGTTCTCGGAAAATCTAGTCAGCTGACAGAAATGCACCAAAGAAGCTCTTTGTGAACAAGTTGTGCCACAAGCAGCACCATTGTTATTCTTAATCAGCTCGCGCTCGCCATGTTATGGTATTAATCTATTTGAAACAGATGTCTCTCTGCAAAACCTGCATCTCAGAAGGCTGGAAAGCAGATGGAAGAGGGCTGACGCTAAAGACAAACACCCACTCATGGGTGATTTTTATACACAGGTATAACACTGGATTCACCTTTTTCTGTTTTAGAGAAAAATAATTGTGTGTGTGCATCAAAGAGCAGTGAAGTTCTTAATAACTTCAACTCATTTATCTCAGTAGAATGATTATTTAAGGAAGGAAGTTGAAAAACGTAAAAAGTACAGCAAAATTGAGTATATTTAGTTTCAAATATGTACATAAAAAACATTTACTCAAAAAACTGCACCCCATGGAAGCCCAAAGTCCCGCTCCAATAGACATTAAATAACAGACTGTAAGAGATCTCAGTTCAGATGACAGTGATTCTTTAAACTGTGCTCGTAAACCAACCCGAGTGGTCGCACTCGCTCACTGGAGGTCTTTGCGTCCTTCGGCCAGATGATGGCACTGTGCTGCCGTGTGTGAGTGAGTGACTCAGCAGCAGTGAGGCTGGTGAATCCGACTGTCAACAACACGGTCATTAATGCCAGTGAGCAAACGTCAACTTATACTGATAATAGATTTATTTTAATCTCTTTAATCTTTACGATTTCAGCGCAAACACTCTGAGTAATGCCGTACCTGGCAACCAGAGGGACGACTGTAAATGGACCATAAAAATAACCTGCGATGTTTCTGCACCAACTGTGCATGAAGTGACCCGAGCAGTCTTTGTTTTGGGTACCAGATGGAGCTGATTTAGGACAATACAGTCTTCCAATCATTTTTTTTTTCTTCTGTGTTGTTGTTGTTGTTGTTGCACACTTTCCTGCGATTGTTTAACTCGGTAACATTTGTGAATCATTGCACAGTGCTGTGTCTCCCATCCCTCTGCTAGTCACATTAGAAATGTGCTAAAAATACCTCGCAAATGCTATGTGACACAGGTTGGCTTTAATAACGACCTACTTGGCGCCATCAGGTTTGTCATAATGCCAGAAATCAGCATCGACGGTGGCCCTGAATATCCTCCTAAAGACGGATTTGCTACTTTAGCGAAAATATGTTTTTAATGACGGTATTTTCTAAATGTTCTGTGAACCGTCAAGGCCGTGAATCCCCCTGTGTTTCCCAATAATTATGTGCTGAATGTACAGCAAGAAACATTAACTTTGTGCTGAACCTGGATGATTTGAATATGCAAAAAAAAAAAAAATTGGTATGCAGATTTGCTGCTGCTGATACGAGAGTTTGGGATCAGAATACTTTCTCTTCTGTTATTAACTGGGTTAGAAATTACCACCAGCTACTTTATGTGCCAGTAGGTGGTGGTGGGCTTGTCAACTCACAAGGCACTTTGGCAGGAAACCAGCCATTGTTCAGAGCTCCAGTTGCACGGAAAGGAGGCCATCGCTGCAAGTTGTTTTCTCTGATCTGAACCACCGTGGAACAGTTCTCTTGGTTTGTTACTCTTTCATCCCACCAGGTTAGAGATTTTTGAAATTTAGATTTTCCATTCGGTGGCAGTTTAAGCCGGGCATAATGGATCGCACTCCTACCTTCTCGGGTGTTCATTCCAGTTAAAAACTATATTGAAAAAAATGGCTGGAATCGAGCGTCGCCACACGCTGTGCTTTTATGTCGCTTCAGCTTGTTATCTGCCCTCCGCTTTTTGTATTTACGTGTGAGTTTTGGTTTTCAGATGTCAGTATTCTCCACTTTAAACCATAAACTTTGTGTTTTGCGATAGTTTCTTGCTGTAAGTTTGCATCGCGTTCGGTGCCACGCAATCTAACCCTAGAAGAAAATAAGCTGTCAACACGCTTATTATTTATGCTCGCCGGTGGGCTATCGGGTTAGCATCCTGCCCTGTTTATTGATGCGGTGGTCTGTCTTCCCTAATCTCAGAGTCCTCTCCTGTCACCGCAGCTCACAGCGCCAATACAGTGGCGTCGTACACAGAGAGGACTAATTCACTTTGAATCACCGTGAGGCATATGAAAACACCTCGGCGCGAGTCTGAGGAAGCAGGTTAAAAGTGGCATTGCTGGTCCAGTCCGCTGTGTGAGGAAGCCGCCTGTGTGTCCCCGATAAGAGGAAGTGAGTGGTGAGGACACGTCAGCCTACTTCAGGTGTCAGCACTTCAAACCAGAGCCGCGGCTTCAGAGGGAATGTGTAAAAACTCCATATTGCTGAGGTGAAGTGGAGGATATTCTGAGTTTGTAGTATTTGATGTCTGGTGTCAACTTGTTCTTAACCTAAAGAAAAAAAAAAAAGAAAAATGAATCTCGGAGTGGTGACTCACCGGATTTCTGCTCTAGAAAGCTTCCTGCCACTGTTTTCCTTCTGCGTGTCACAGTGAAAGCATATATACTTTATGTTTAATTGGCAAGTCTCATAGTGTATTAGAGCCATTTGCAGCGCTGCAGTGTGAGGCCACCGGAGTTATTTGGCAAGATCAGACATATGACACCAAGTCTGCTCGATTTAATGAGCAATTACTGAGGATTATTGAGAGTTATATACCTATCAGTCCCAGTCACGAGCTGCTGTAAGACTGATAAACTGAGCATTAACAATGATATTCAACAGCAATGACTGAGCTCTTAAACG